CCTACGCACGCTTAGCTGAAAGGAAGTCCAGTTGCTCTCGGTGTGAGTGAGAGTTCCCTCTTCGCAAAGGCGCCGCCGCCGCATAAGATGGCGCTGCGCATCGGCAGGAAAAAGAGAGGAGCGTTCTTCAGAGGTGGAAAGCCAACTGGGTGCCAGTGGAGGAGGAGGAGGGTCAGAAGCAGAGGCTCGGATTCCCACTCTGCTTGACAGGGAACCTTGGACCTAACCGGCTACCTTGCAGGGTTGTTGCGGGGATAAAATGGAAGCGAGCAAAACAATCTAATAAATTGCTTTGGATTCCGATTGAGGAGAAAGGTGGGCTATAAATGAAGCAAAATGAAAGACCCAGACAACAGTCCTACACATGCTTCGCTGGAAGTGAATCCAACCGGGGAGGGGGCTTCCGAGGAGCAGGCATAAGATCGGGCTAAAGCACCTCGAGCCCCGGAAACCTGTCCTAGCAGTGGAGGAGGAGGAGGGTCAGAAGCAGAGGCTCGGATTCCCACTCTGCTTGGCAGGGAACCTTGGACCTAACCGGCTACCTTGCAGGGTTGTTGCGGGGATAAAATGGAAGCGAGCAAAACAATCTAATAAATTGCTTTGGATTCCGATTGAGGAGAAAGGTGGGCTATAAATGAAGCAAAATGAAAGACCCAGACAACAGTCCTACACATGCTTCGCTGGAAGTGAATCCAACCGGGGAGGGGGCTTCCGAGGAGCAGGCATAAGATCGGGCTAAAGCACCTCGAGCCCCGGAAACCTGTCCTAGAACTTTGCAATAAGGTGTAGGTTTTCCTGGGTGCGCAAAATAAGAGGCATGAGTGGAAAGCACGCCTCGGGCATCAGATGAAAGGGGGCTTTCTTCCACGAAAACGTATGCCCTGATGTGTGTGTGTATGAGAGACAGACAGACAGACAGACAGACAGACAGAGAGACAGAGGGAGAGAGAGATCCTCAGATCCTCGCTGGTAAACGGCCATGGAAATGGTGGGCGGAGCTTCCCGATCGGCGGATGGGGCATCTTGGCTACCCAGGTGCTGGAAGAGCCAGAGGCTGTCTTTTAGCCAAGTCATTGTTTAATGAGGTCGCTGAAAATGATGGACAAGATCTGGCCGAGAATCCGAAATAAGTCTCATAGTGATTCCATATGGTTTACTCTTAAGTAAGTGTGCAAAGGATCGTACTGCTTTATCATCCCAGTCAATCTATCGGGGGAAAAACATGTATTAGTTAAGTGTACAGTAACTAAGCATGTGTCTCCCGGAGGCCACAGTCTCATGCCACCTCACGTGGGACAGAGGCCAATGATTTCAACCGGGTGGTTAAGCACGTAGTTAAGCGCGTGCGAAGTCCCATTCAAATCAACAGGACGGTGTCTGAGACCACTTTTTCAATGAACAAATGGATCAGATAAAGACATTTCATTTTTTTTTAACTTTACTAATCTGATTGTGATTTAACTTCGTATAAAACTTGCTGAAACTTGCGTCCTTGGGACACCACTCAGGACAGTTCTGTATCAGGCCTGCAGCTGGGTGGAAGGATGTACTTGACGGGTCATCGAACCTATGAACGTGGAAGGTGGTCATTCCCCGATCCTACAACACAGGGGGCGGTTGGCCACCTGGCATCTAACAGCACTGGCTTCCTGTTCCTTTCCTGATGTCATGAAAGAATTTACATGTTCCTTGTGTATGCTGATTTCCTAGTTAGCTTACGGTCAATAGAGAAGTCTCCACCTCTCACCAGCCAGAGTCTAGGTGACAATATGCATAAATGAGTTGGTACTCGTATTGTCTATTGGCTAATCAATAGATGTGAGGATGTCCCGGGGTAGAGGCTTAGGAAAGTTTTATTGCCTTTGCTCTAACTCTCGCCTGGGGCAGAGACAGGAGGTGTAGTTACAGAGACAAGATGTACGTTAGAGAGCTAGACAGGATGTTTATGGTTTTGAACTCCTAGTTTCCCTTTTCCCATAAGTAATTAGTAAATTTTACTTTTTTAAAGCTAATACACAGGTGTGCTGCGTTCTTTTTGTATTCTTTTTTTAAAAAATAGTTGCTTATTTTTTAAAGACAAAACAAACATGTAAGTAAGGGGGGGATTTCTCTTCCATTTGTATCTTCTTTTATTCTGATACATAAAGTCACCCAACACTTCCACTTGGTGTGGTATGGTAGTTAGAATGTTAGACTAGGACGTGGGTTCAAATCCGGCCTCTGGCCTGGCGGCTTGATCTGGCTCGATAAGAATATAATAATGTGCCACACTAGGTTCGGTAGAAGACGATTTAATAAATCAAGTGATGCAAGGCTGTTCGGTATTACAAGTTGAAAACACTCAGTATGTCTGGGGTTAAATGTTTATGTTACTCACAAGAAGTCACATGTTACTCATGTAACCAATGTTCTTTAGATGTAGAAAGCCCGGGAATTTTCTCCCTGATCTAGGAATTTGATTGGGACTAAAGTGTCAAGGTGTATTACCATTTTATGGCTTCTCTTCCCGTCTTTGTTTGGTGTTCTGAAGAACAAGAAGAGCAGCCATAATCTCTCTCTTCTAGTTTTGTCTTTGTAGAGTAAGGATGTAGCCGGTTATGCTCTGTTGTTATTTTCATCCCAGTTACCCTTCCCATGCTAGAACTCAGTAAAAACTTTATATTTTAATCACACATGGATTCTGAGTCTGAATTATTTTACTCTGGCTCTGCTGGACTATCTTATCTCTGCTAAATACCAATTTTTCAATATCTCACTACCACCCAACAAAGGCTTTCTGGATCGGGCCGAAAGTTTATTTAAAAGGAAGCCTAATGTTCCCTCTAAGCTGTGGAGTCTTGTGAGCAAAAATTCTACTTTGTGAGCTACTGGCATTAAAGTTGTGAGCGAGCGATTTGGCTACTGCCTAAATTAGTTCGCTCTGGAGCCATCCTTCCTGAGCTAAGACAAAAATGTGCGAGCTGGAGGGTAAAAAACTGTGAGCTAGCTCACACTAACTCATCTTAGAGGGAACTACTGGGGATATCCAAAATTAAATTTCAAAAAGTCTCTTCAAAAATGTTTGGAGATGGGAGAGTGGAACGAGTGTGGGCACTCTTTTCTCCAGGTCTAGATTGCAAAGGAGTGTTTGGAAAGCGAAAGCCACAGTCAGCAGCTGCTGCTGGATAGAAACGGTATCCATCCCACCATGCGTGTTGCTGTAGATGTTGCAGCAAGCCTGCGCTACTTTTGCCCGTGTGCTCACAAAGTAGAATTTTTGCTCACCAGACTCCACAGCTTAGAGGGAGCACTGCCCAGGCCCCCTCTGCCAAGCCTCCGCCGCCGCCCAGGGAGGGAGGGAGGGACAGGCCGGCCGGGGCGGGGCGTTGCTAAGCGAGCCCGGGCACAAACAGAGCGGCGGCCGGAGGGAAGCCTCGGCCTTGGCAGCTCCGCGCACATGATGTCCCGGCCGGGTGTTCTTGCTTGCGGCAGCCGCGGGCTAAAAACAGGTGGTCGCCGCGGCGCTGGGGGGTCGGGCAGGTAGCGAGAGGGCGGGCCTGGCCCGCTCCGCCTCGTGGGGCGGAAAGAATCCGGGGGGAGGGAACCGATTTTTCTGCTGTGAGGATTGCTTCATCACATCAGGACAGGTCAGTATTGGCCAAACAATGAACTCCTGCTAATGCGAATGTCACTGTACCTTTCAGTCTATATTTTTTATTTTTTAGATCTGTATAATTGTGTGTGTGTTTGAATTTATTGTATGCTTGTGAAGACCTCTTAGTAAAGAAACCAATTCTTTAAGACTTGGTCTCTGCATCTATTTCTGGGACTCCTGTATACAAAGGTTATTGCTCCCTATTTGCCAGTTGCCATTTAATATATTCAAATTCCCCATCTTTATTAACAAATAGAACGATTTGGCTAACAGTGGAGCCTGAGGAGGGTGGGGTTTGGGGAGGAGAGGGGCCTCAGTGAAGCATAACGCCATAGAGTCCACCTTCCCAAATGGGCCATTTTCTCTAAGTGAACTGATCTCTGTCACCCGGAGATCAGTTGTAATCCCAGAAGATCACCACCCACAACCTGGAGGTTAACAATCCTACAGACAGCTCAGTTGCTCAGCTATTCTAAATATTTCCTTTCAGAACAATAAGATCCTTCTCCTCTTGCCCCCCCCCCACGCCTCTCGGGGAGCTCCAGGGCAGACTGGGGATCTGGACGCCGGACGGGCTCCGAGGTCGGTCAGGGGACAACGGACCCACCGCCCCGGCTAAATTCTCTGGTGAGAGCTGGGTCGAAAAGGAAATCCGCTCATTTCTTCTTTATAATTTGCAAACTATAGATTTATCCGGCTTCACTGGGTGACTTCGGGCCAGTAATTGCCTCCCCTACCTCGCAGCGTTGCTGTGAACGTGGGGGCGGGGGGAAGCCCATTCTTTTTGCCGAGTTCCTCCGAGGAAGCGGCATAGAACACGAATCATAAATAGTACCACATCGGTCGTGGTTGACTGTCCACACACACTCTCTACTCCTCCACATGAAGCCAGCTGGGTGACCTTGGGCCAGTCACAGTTCTTTCAGAGCTCTCTCAGCCCCTAAAAATAAGTGAACTAGAACTTGCGGCTGCCAGACAATCTTCGGATCTCCTAGCTATGCCGTACTATCTATAATTATTTACACATCCCTGAGCCCTCTACCGATTTTCTCTGCTCTCTCTTAGCCAGGACAAATATTCTCTTTTCCAGGTAGCCGGTTAGAACAGAACAAGGAAGTTTTTGTTCCTACCAGATATAGGCTGCGGTCACACACACTAAATAATCCACTTTCAATGCACTTTCCAACTGGATTTTGCCAGTTCACACAGTAAAATCCAGTTGGAAAGGGCACTGAAAGTGGATTGAAAGTGGATTGTTTACTGTGTGTGACCGCAGCCATAATCTTGCCAGAGGACAGATCAGAAAAACCAACCTGAATTTTGGTACCATCGTGGATGGGCACAAACGCACTGGCGCTGCTAGTAAATGTGGAGGAAGGCCAAAAGCCAGGCGGCTGTGCTGCAAGGTGGCTGTGTGGGAGTGCCGTTTACAAACAAGAAACTCTGCACCATTCTTACTACGGGACTGCCACTCGGGAACCTCTCCTCCTTACAGCTAAGCGTGAAGACTGTGTTGCAACGGCTCAGGCACCCGCCTTGCTCCGCAGGAAGTCCCGAAGGTGCGTCCCCCCAGATCAACCTGCGCTTAATAGAAACACAAAATCCAGGTAAGCACGGGAAGGGCCCATTGCGGGGCACATGAGCTTTGCGTGGACAGAACGCCCAGAATTTCTGGGGGCTTGGCCTTGCCAGGGACCCTCAACAGTGTCGACCTATCTGAGTCACCAACCGCAATCCCAAAAATTCGGTGGGGTTTACTCTAGAGTAAATACGGCCACAGAAACGCACTGCCCACAGCTAACACCACGTGGACAGGTAGAGGCCGAAGCCTTCTCCTCCTGTTGCCTTTTATTGACTTTATTTATAGCCCGCCTTTCTCACCGAGACTCAAGGAAGACGACACGGTGTAAAAAATCGCAAACAAGTCGTGTGAGAAATCTAATAAGCAATACAATAGGGCTAGGATAAAGCCCACAATGAGACCTTTTCTAACAATGGCCCTGAAGCCGTTCCAAAGAAGCCATTTGATGGCCACTACGCAGTCCTGCAGCCATGAGAGTTCCCAGGCAACTGTGGCCACCTCTTCACCTTTGGCTTGGCCGTGGCCGCGTCTCGCTGGTTTCCCGAGGAAAGATCCCCCAGGAAATCCGGAAGACACCGAAGGAATCTCGTTTGAAAGGCTGCTGGGTCTATAGGGATGCGGTGTCCCCCTCGATTGACAGCGGTTGCCAACACAATGAACCCCCTTGGCCTTCGTTTTCACCGGGTAGAAGTCCTGGAATTTGAAAGGTGGTCGCGTTCGTCTCAGACTGGAAGCTCTTCGGAGGCAGGGACTTCAGATTCTCTTGGGCTTCTGAAACTGTGCTGCTGCTGCTACTGCATCAATAGAAGGGAACAACAAAACTGTTTGACAGCCACCTCAGGACGTTTACACGGAAGAAAGTCCCCCCTGAGGGGCCTACTTTGCATCTGGCTCAGATTCAAATACTGGGTGCCCTTTGCCGGTGCCAGTCTCTCCCTGGCTCCAGCCTACCTGTGCCTGGCAGCGGAACCTCGCAAGTGCCCTTTCTCTGAGCAGGCAGAGAGGGCTGCTTGATAGCCTGGCTCAGGGGCTGTGCACGCTGCCCCCACCCCCCAGCACAGCGGGCTTAATTCCGAAGGGGAAGACCCAGCTGGACAACTTAACTATGACCGGGCCTGGGGCTGCTGTCACTGTTAGGGGCCGAGGCGCTTCTTGGTAGTTACTACCGCTACTAGTAAAAGCGGCAGTAGCCACAGGAACTTGAATTGGTTGGACAGGCAGTGTCGCGGGCAAAACAGAGCGATTCACTTCTGTTGAGGGGGTCGGGATACAAGAGACACCGAAGGCTCCGGGCAATCGTCCCGTGGAAGTTGTCTGGAAGATCCGCACGCCTCTGCTGGTCCCACCAATGGGGCTTCAGCAGCAGAACTGCCCGAAAGGTTGCCCCCTCACACACACACACACCATCTTGATCGTAAAAGGGGGAAATGCTGATTTCGTTTCATTGGCGAAAATCCAGAGTCTGTCCCCGTGCTTCTTTGTTGTTTGGTGTTTTCTTCACAACGACAGGAACCCTCGAAACTGATATTATTATTATTATTATTAGATGCGTCATGCGGCTGAGGTCTGCCGCATGTTTTTCCTCGGGTCTCCAGAAGGACATGCAAATGAGCCGAAATTTAAACATCCACTCCCCGGACAGCCCTTTCAGAAAAATAACAGGAAACCTTGTTTCAATTTAATTTCTCCGCTGGACAGGGTTCATTGCTAGTCACTTGGAATACAGAGGTTTCTCCTTCATAGACTGAGTTTTAAACGGGTGACTTTTTGAAGGGATTGTGACAATAAAAACCGGCTCCCGCAAGTGACAAAATTTGGGCGGAGAATGGCCAGCTTCTAAGGCATTTCTAATACGGCTCGGTGGTCCTTCGCATTCGGACGCCTGTTCGCAGCCTGCAGGGATCACTCCCTGAGAGAGAATCAGAAACAACCAAGAGCCGCGTCGCACCCTTAAAAGCAAAACAGGTTTGTAACATTCTGAGGAAAGAAATGAGGGTGCAAACTGGGAGTTAGTGCAGAAATCCTGTTCACGTTGGCATTCGGTTCCCTTTTCCCCCTCCTCGCAAGGCACGATACGTGACGTCGAATTCCCTCTCCTTTTCGGTCAACTGCTTTCCGAGGCGGCGCTAACTGTTCCTTTGGAAGCCAGCAACCTGGTCTCATTGGCACTCACGTCCAAGTCAGCGCGTTTTGCAGGATTGGAAGACTGAGCCCTTCGCACCTAAATCTCTTCCTTTGACGCAAAACAAGACCCGCGGATAAGGGAGGAAACTTTATTCCTCCAAAGGGCAGTCCTACACTCAAAATGTTGGTTTCCATGGAGCCGCCCAGAAATGGGTTTCTGTCCCATCAGGTCACGCTCTTGAACGATTCGCTTTCTGTGGCACACCGAATCGAACTGTGTTTACTTTAACGATTCGCTTTCTCTGGCACACTGAATCGAACTGTGTTTACTTGATAGTAAGAGCTACTGAGGCCCCAGCCTTTAATGTAAGATTTCGATTTCTCCACGTACAGGCGAAAGAAAAAGCGCTTCTGCCGTCCCACTGTCGCTTTCCTCCCGCAATTAAGCAAACAAATAAAAGTTACGATTTTAATAGTCCAGGTTTCCTTTTGAGGATAGCCTTATTCCTATGCATCTTTTTATTATTATCGTCCGATAGCCTTTCTCGCCAGCTCTCGTTCTCACTGCCACTTGCCTAGATCGCAGGAAATGGAGCTGCGACGCCCCCTGCCCCACTGAAGGCCGGGGACCGAGCAGCGCCTCTCCTTTCTGGAGGGCCGTGGGACTCGGCCGCGACTCTCGGCCGCTGGGCCGGGGCCAAACGCTCTTTCGCCGGCTCGCTAGAACCCAGCCGCGGGAGGAAGCGGCAGAGACCCTCTTTCAGGGCTGCGCAGCTGCGAGACTCCCGGCGCCCGGGACCGGAGCCGCCGCCCCCCCCCCAGCCCCACAACTTGCCTTGTTTCTCTGAGGATTTCCCACTGCCCGTCCAGAGGTGCTTTTGAGCAAGGACTCGAGCGCATTGAGCGGATTTGCTTTTTATTAAGTCATCTCCGAGAGAGGGAGCGAGCGAGGGTGAGCGAGAGGGGAGTACAGGGAGGGGGGGCGAGGGGGAGGCCCAGGGAAAACGAGGAAAGAATTAAGCAGGTAATAAAGAGGCGAGGGAAGGAAAAGCCGCCGAAAGCTTTCTTGGATCAGAAACCTGCCCAGACTCTCCCCGAGAAGGACTGGCTCTCTGCGCGGCTTCTTTGAGGCTGGAGGGGGCTCCTCTCCCCTGGCAAAGAACACCGAGCAGAGCCTCCCCCAACAGGAAAGGCGCTTCGTGGGAAGGCTAGGGGCGAAAAGATTCCAGCCCGGACCCGGAAAGAGACGATCCGCGGGCACTTCCGTGCTCCACACTTGGCGATCCACCATAAGGCATAAGAATCCTGGCTGCGATCACACACTCTAAATAAGCCATTTTCAATCCACTTTCGGATTGGATTATGCCAGTTCACACGGTAAAAAATCCAGTTGGAAAGTGCATTGGAAGTGGATTATTTGGCTTGTGTGACCGCAGCCAGTGTTTCGTTCAGACCAAATATCCCGCTTCTAAAAGCGGCCAGACATCTGGTCCGGCCAGAGAGCCTCTTCCGCCCGTGGCTAAACCAGGACTTGCAGCGGAGCCCATTCTGGCGGTTTTGAACATCTCGGGTTCTTGGAGCAGTTGTGGGGCTGGAACCCAGCCTTGACTCCTGAGGGGTGGAATCAGACAGCACAGCGGCTTAGGAGCAGCAAGGAAGGGGGAGTTGGGGATAGGCCTCTCAGCCCTCTTCGGCAGGGTTGTCCCCGTTCGGTTCAACTGAATGTCCTCGATTTAAATCGATTCATTCCTTAGGCGCACTGGGACTCAATAATAAACGGAAATGCAATAGATTTTGCTTCAGTTTGCTCACATCTGTCTGTCTGTCACTTCCTTCCACATCTAAGGAAAAGAGCTGTGACGCGGGAAAGCTGATATTGAAATAAAATGTTGTTAGTCTTGAAGGTGCGCCTGGACTTTTGTTTTATTTTGCCCTGTGCCATTGCTGTCTGGCTCTCGCGCTTTGACTCTCTCCCTCTCCATCCCGTCTTCGGAGGTAGCAGCATTTCTCCCCAGCAATCCAGTTCCACCCCCACCCCCACCCCGTGATTTGCTGTCTACACAACCCCTACCCGGTCCTTTTCAGCAGATCCCACTGGGATTCCTTTAAAGGCATATGGATGCTCTGGCGGCAGTCCTCAGCCTGCCTGCGTCGAGTATTGTCATTTTTTCAAGCGGGGTGTGTGTGTGTGTGAAATCTTTGGAGTACTCATCGTGTCCCTGTGCGAGGAAAGGGTTAAGAGTCCCTCCGAGTGAGGAGCCTCGGATGCCGTTTGCGTAATATCTTTATTACTGAAAACTTCAAGGTAAAAGAGAGAGAGAGCGCGGGCGAGAGCGCGCAATGGAAACCAGATGTGGAGATGGGAAAGCGAGGGATTACAAAGGGAGAGGGGGGAAATGGAGCGTCAAGGGGGCTGCAGGAGTTAAAATGGGGCAGGAGGAACGTGGCGAAGGCGAGCTGATTTCCAGGACCCCTTAGGGAGGCCTGGAGCAGCGGAGAGCGAGTCCTGGCTGCGAGTGAAGAGGGAAGGGCGCCTGCGCGTCGGCATCCGCTCAGGCTGAGGTCCCGGGGACAAGCAGACCCCCTCGGATCGTGGCGAGCAAGCCAGGAGCCCCTCCTCGCTCCGACCAGGACGGGGGGCTTTAAATGCCAGTGAAACCACGACCAGCATCAGCCCACTGAGGACCTGTTGTTAGGGCCAAATAAATCCCACCAATCAATGTCACCTCCCCTTTCGGAAACCAGGCTGCCAGTCGTTTCTTCTTAGGACCTTTGCCTTCCGAACAGGCAGACATTCAACAAGGGCCGTTCTTCGCTCCCGCGGCCCAGGGAGACAGGAGGGGAAGCTTTCAGCCAGCCGCAGGCACCCTTCCCACGCGGGAGGAGACGGGGGGGGGCTGGCAGTTAGAGCTGAAAAAGTGACAATTGGTCCTAATGGGATGTTTTCCTGCTGCCGAGCAAAACAAAATCGCCCTTCTGGAAGGACCCAAGGCTGGTTGCGACAGAAGTGGGGAGGGGGCGCGTGTGCCTGGATGCAGCCCCTTCTAGGAGGGCAAGCCCCGGAGTCTCTCTGCCGCTGCCCGGCCAAGGGGGGAGGACTAGAGCGAAGTGGGGGTGGCATCGCGCACACGGGCATTTCTCCTGGCTCTTTCGCCTTGCCCCGGTCCTCACGTTCACATCCCCCAAGGACACGACTGTCACGTGGCCGGCTGTTCCCCTTCTCCCGGTCTCTGATTGTTTCCTATTTTTATTTTTGAAATTCTTAATTGGGGGAAAAAAGTAGTAACGCGCCTCCCCCGATCTTTTTTTTACTGCTTCCTCCCTCGCTCACTGTCACCGGGCTGGGGAGCGGGAGACAGCTCGTTTGGTGCGTGTGTGGGGGGGGGACGACTGGAGGAGGGCAGGAAAGAGGGGGAGGAGGAGGAGAGGAAGAGAGGGGGAGGCAGAAGAGTTCCTCGAGGAGGTCTTGGGTTTCTCCCCCCCCCCTCCTCCGGAGCGAAGAGCCAGAGAGAGCGAGAGGGCGGCGAGAGGCGGAGGCCGGGAGACCCTTCCCCGCCGTCTCGCAGGAGATCGCCCCGGCTTTCCAGCACATCT